AGCAAGACAGCTGACACGTGAGGTGGCTGGCGTAAGAGAGAATGACAACAGACTGTTTATGTCCCCTAATCTGAAAGGCTTGCTCCACAGGAGTGTGTCATTACTAGAGTCTGTACACTGAAACTACCTGCTTCTATAATGAGAATAGTCTTAGTGTGGTGAAGGCTGTGTGCCTGTTAGCACACAAATGATCACAAATCTGAGGTTGTGTTCAGGTAAAGAATAATAACTGTTGAAGTATTGCTTTGTTATTCACACCCACTGGATGTTTTTTCCAAATAGGTGATCTGTTACTACATTGCAGAAAATCGGCTGTTCTGTTTTAACTGCACTTCTCTAACGGGATGTTTATTACTTAGTAATAATGTAGAGGAACAAGTACTGAAGGAAGACATGCAAAAAAGAGGATGGTTTTGATGGCAAAATGAAGCTTGAGAGATGAGTTTTCTGTCTTGAGTTGCACATGCAGCAAATTTATATTTCCACAAGTTAGCTGCTTAATCTCTTTGCATCTAATTTCAGAAGGGATGCTGGGAGCATAGTTTAATGTTTGTGAGACAGATATCTTGAAGAGCTAGATTTATAAGAGATCCTTGGCTAAGTATCCATCCCAAATGATTTCAACCAACTTATTGCCCAAGTGTCTTTGTGTGTGCTTCTGTGTGTGTCCACTGCTAGCTAAAGGTCATCTTTAAAGACACTTCTCTGCAGCCATAAAGATTTGGTGCAGATATCTCTTTAAATAATTGAGCAGGATTTTTTTTCTTTCCTCTTCCAGTCCTCTCTGCAAAAGTAGGCAAGAATTGTAAAATAACTGCATTAATCCATCAAGAAATTCTCCCAGTGTGTCTGGGACAGGACAGTTCCCTCTGACCTGCTACTACTCTGAATCTCCTCTACTTGACCAGGAATATGTATTCTGGTACTTATGATTCACATAATTTGGGGCTTGGACCAGATGATCTCCAGAGGTGCCTTCCAACCTCAACCATTTTGTGATAGCTCTGTCTTACCTATTATTTGTAGATCTCCATAAAGATTGTTTTAATTTTTTGTGAGGTATGTCCCAGATTTCTTCTCTTTTTTCATCATCATTCTTACTATGGCACATCTTGTTGACATGTCAAGTAGTTCTGTTATTTCTCAGAGTGTGGCACCCGAGAACACCAGTTGTGGACTAGAGTGTTGCTATGTTAGTTGCTGTATAAATGTAAAGTCGAAGACATTTGTCATGCTACAGAAGTTACCATTCTAAGTGAGATTAGGAGAATAAAATAAAACATTAAGGCAGTATTAATCAGCACAGTTCATCAGACATAACAGGCCAGTGGTGTTTTGGGTATTGTGATAGTTTTGGGTAGAGGATTTAGGTGTTAAGATAAAAGAGAGTTCATGGAGAAGAGTTTTAGGGAAAATAACAAAGTAATTTTGCAGATTTTTCTGTGGAATTAATCTATAGCATGAGAACAAGCATGCATGTTTGAAATTAAACTAATAACTTCTTTGGCCAACTAAATACGGGAGTTGGCATCTCATCAGTAGAAGGATAGGCCACAAAATGCCACAACCTGGAATATTGTCTGAATCCTGTAAGACAGGATTTGATAAGAACATCTTAAGAACATTTATTCACACTGAGCACTGAGTCATGAACCTCATCTGGCAGGGATCAGCATAAGCCTAAAGCGAAGTGTAGTTATCAAAGAACTAGCTCCTGGGAGCCTCCAATTAATGACAGGTTGGAAGGGGTCATCCCATACTCTGGGGAACGAGGGAAGGGTAGGGGAAAGTCGTAGGAAGAAGATGCGAAAGAAAGCAATAGTTCCACTGAGGGAATACTGAGTATTGTCTCTAATTGTTGGAAATTAATATTGCCAATAGTAGGCTAGTAATCGGATATTATAGACATACAAATGCATTAATACATAGTTTCATTTTGCAGTGTTCGTCAGCATTCTGTCTATGGCTTGTCGCTGCTTGCCTGGTAAGAGGCTTTTATTGTCTTTCAAATGTTTTTCCTAACACAGTTAAAAAAACTTGCATAATATTACCAAGCATCATTTTAAAGCTTCATGCTTTTTGAAGGAAGAACTTAACACAGGAGGACAGTCCTTTGCATTATTGTTTCTGTTGTGCTGAATTCTCTTCTATGGTTGCTTTATTTTGGGGCAAATATTGGGCTGCTCTAATTGGGTTTATTTATTAGAATTGTTGCAATCTCACATATGCTAAACATACTGATTGTGTCTGGGGTTTTTTTCCTTTTCTAGAAAGATTTCTGGGAGAGCCACCTCAAAACCTACAAATGGAATCTTACAATTTTCAGCACATTTTGTCCTGGCAGGCAAAAAGTGATCCAACTATGCCAACATACTATCATGTGCTGTTCAGTGACCGCAGGCAAGTCATATTTTATGACACAATTTTTACTTTTAATGTTTATCAACTCAGAATACTAAGTCTGGGGGGGGGGGATGTCTGTTTTTCCACTCAGAAATACTTCCCCTCCCATATTTTCTTATACAAGAAAACCCAGATAGATTATTTTGAACTTTTTTAACTTGTCTTGATTTACAGGAACTGGAAGACTGCTGAACAATGTTCAAACATTACACAACTCTTCTGTAATGTGACAGATGATTTTAGACAGGTGAACACTCAGTATTCTGCATTGGTTCAGAGCTTTGTAGGAAATAAAGAATTCAATTCTTCTGTACTTCATTTTTTGCCAGTTACTGACAGTAAGTTCTCTGCATTTGCTCCTTTTAGTAGTTTTTATTCATAGCTCATGTGTAAATGATATTCTGCTCACTTTACACTAAGATACTGCAAACTAACTGGGTCAGTAGTTTGTTCTTTTATGTAAGAGAAGGTGGATTTGTATGTAATCTAGCACATATCAGTTACAAAACAGAATATATAGATAGCTTTCTAAAATTAGTGTCTACAGTAGTAGTTCTGGTAAATGGACAAGGCTCTGGTTTTCAAATAAAATGTATGTGTAAATACAGAGGAAATAGGATCATATGAAGCATTGACAAGCAAAAATCTCTAAATGCATAAGATACATAATTTAACCCACAAAACTTTGTTTGGTTGGTTGGTTGGTTTTGGGTTGTTTGGTTGTGGGTTTTTTTTTGTCTTCTAGTAATCAGTGTTAAGAGTTAAAGAAATACTGTGCCTGCACTAGGTGTAGGGGAAGAGATTTACTTGCTTGCTCATCAATGGGCTCTTCCCTTTCCTTGCTGAAAGAAGATGCTTATTGGCTGTGACATCTTCTAATGCCAGAAGTGGCTTCATCCTTAGTTGTGCTTAATATTCAGCTTTGAAGTAACAGAGAGAGATTGAGGAACAATTGCAGGACTATGGAGCAGAAATAGGTCATATTACCCCTAAATTTGGCACAGAGTTAGCCACTGCTGTATCCACTTACATTCTCAGAAATGATGAAAAATTGAAGGGGATGGGGAGAATAGCCACAAGGATAACTGAAGGATTTGAGAACATTCCTCTAAGGTGGAGGTCTTCAGTCTTTCAGCAGTTAGTTTATTAAAAAAGAAGGATCAGAAGGTGCATTGACCAATAGTTAATATGGTGGCAAGTTTCTTCAGTCTCGAAAACAAAGCATAACAGCATGCCCTAACTGGAAGCTGAAGCTAGATTAAATTTTAGCTAGGAACAAGAGGCATATTTTGGATTGACCACTGGAACAAACTGTCAGGTGCTTTGACTGGTTGTCCATCACTGGCAATTTGTAAATTGAAATTGGATGCTTTGCTAGTAGTTCTCTAGTTCAAACCATAAGCAATCGAGTGAAGTTATGTTTACCAGGGCACAGGACTTACTTAGATGAACCCTGTAGCATTTTCTTCTTTTGCAATGCCTGAATAGGAAAGAATCAGTATTCTGAGATATTTTCCTATTGGTGTAGTTGATGGCTACCTTCAAATACCTATGGTGGAATCTCACTCCTGTTGACAGATGGATTTGAGCAAAGACAGAAAGGCTTCATAACAAAAAGCCAGGATTAAAAAACACTGCTGGCTGTAACCAGATTTAAGCTAATGTTTGTTTGTAACTTAAACAAAAAAATGAGAAAGGAATAAGCGTGTAATCATCTGACTAGGAAATGCTTTCCTATTTGGGAGTAGATGAGAGTTCACATTTGGTTTAAGTATTAAACTTGTTAGGGGTTTGGTTTTGGGGGGTTGTTTTGGTTTTGGTTTTTTTTTGGGGGGGGTGGGGGTTGGGGTGTTGTTTTGTTTTATGTTGTTTGTTTGTTTTTTTGTATTTTGCTTTCTACCCTGTTTCAGGAACAGAAGTAGTTAGCAAATGTGTGTTGCTTTTTTGAATTTTGCAGAGGTTGGGAAACCAGTCTCTACCTTGATCACAATGTACATGCCTCTGGAAAAGACAAAGTGAAATGCAGACTCTAAATTTTGGTGGTTTTTTTCCCCCCCAATGTGCTACACAAAAATGGAGGTTTATGGACATAGTTTGTTCTCCTGCCATTTTCCAAAATTCCTTCTCCTTTATTGTGTTGGAGAAAAGAAGATCTTAGGCTTGATTCACTATGGAAGTTCCTCTGATACTGATGGATATATAGTTTTGGACAGAGGAGACAGTTAGCATGCATGGCTCCTGGAACACATGCATGGTTTGAGGACCTGAGCTTCAGAGATTAGTTTGAACTCAGTGGAAGTCTCACAGAAGTGTAACTATGTTTCATTAGATCCTCTGTCCCACTTTCAGTAGAGTTTTAGTATTTGGAGCCCGGCTGTTAAGTTTAGCCTTATAGCCTTCCTTGCAACAAGCATGATTATGTGCAGGGCTAAACACCACTGAATTTTTACAAAGATTTCTTCCAGAGAGTGACTAGAAGGTGATGATGAGCAAGAAAGTAATCAGCTTTTCCTATACATTAACCTTAACTTTCCTATGAAATAGATAAAAAGCTCATATCTCTGTGGAGCTGAAGCAAAGCCTTTGTCACCTTTCTGCTTCTTCCCTCTTCTCCACTGCTTTCTCTTTTTAAAATCTAGTCATGTGGGAAAAGGCTCTTTGACTGTGGAACTTAAATGTTGCAAGACCTTGTGGTTTTATAGCAGTGAAATGCTCTGGAATCTATTTAGTCAGCTGTATGTCTGTCACCAAAATAGAAGTGGAACTGAATACATAGTGTATATTTTTTCCATCTTTTTTTTTTTTTTACCCCATCTTTTTTTTTTTTTTTTTTTTTTTCCCTTTTCCCCCCCCCCCCCCCCCAAAACACTTTCCGGGCTTTTCCCTCTTTTTTTTTTTTTTTCCCCCATTTTTTTTTTTTTTTTTCTTTCTTCCCTATTCCCCCCTCCCCCTCCCCAATAGCATTCCTGGGACCACCAGAAGTTAATATCAGTTCCTGTCTAAACTGTATAAATGTCACCATAAAGCTGCCAACCTCTTACTTCAGAGAAAATGGAAAGCTACTGTCTTTAATTGATATATATGAAGAGCTTGATTATGATATAACACTGAAAACACTTGATGGAGAGCATAAGGTAAAGAATTTTTTGGTTTATTTGTGCTTTAGGGGAGAAATATAGAAAGCATAAAATGGCTCTGATGGTTAGCAGATTCACGGAAGCAAATATGTGAATATATGAATAGAAGATACTTAGAAGGAAACAAAGAGAATGGCCATCATAACCTGTTTCCTCTTACTGCAGAGTAGCAGGCCTAGAAGAGGAATACTGGTTGTCCTGTATCCTTACTTGAAATAAACCACAGAGCACTGGCTCAAGTAGTTATTCCCTGGGAAGACAAGGGAAAGATGTGTTAGCAGAAACTACTAGCAGGGGTAGGCATGCTAACAGGTGTAGAGCATGGAGTGTCTGTACTGGAAGTTGTGAACAGCAGGCCAGACAGGTGCCTGTTGGGAATTTAATCTAACTCATCCTGCCGGGAGACACAGAAGGACCGCAACTTTCCTGCCACTGATGTTTTTTACCCCTGATTTCTGAATCAGAATATCACTTGAAGTTTCAAATCTGTAGAATTCATCTGAGGCTGCTTCAAGGGGACATACAGTGACCAATAGTTGGAGATAACAGGCAATTTATCTTTGATAATACGATGTTCACAAACAGATGTAAGGTAGGCATGTTGGCATCAGCTACAACTAGAGAGGAAGCAGCTGTCTAGGTAAACCACTGAGTTACTTTGTCAGTCTTTGCAGTTTCACCAGTGGCTGGGGATCTCTTTTTAGGCACATAGCTAACTTTGAAACATTGTCTTTCATGACAGAGGCCACGTGAGCAAACCACTGAAGATGTTTTTAATACTGTCATTGAAGAATTGTATCCAAATAGAAATTACTGTGTGTCTGTTATGGTCACTGCGTCTCTAAACAAACATTCCATCCCATCAGCCTGGAAATGTGTAACTACAGACTCTGTAGCTCAACAAGGTAACTGTGCTGTGGTGCAGGAATGGACTGTGTGACTTAACTAGGTGCATGTGTTTTCTTTTTACATAGGTAGAATTACAAGTCAATCCTAAAAGTAGTAAGAGAGAAAGTACTATTTGAGTGATAAACATTGTGGGGATTTTTAAGTGAAACATAAAACTCCATCCACTTTGGGGCTATAGATCTATTCTTAATCCTGCAAGCCATACAAATCTCTACTAACTGCATAAATAGTTATCAACAATGCTGTAAGTTCTTTTTTAATTCCTGAATCTGAGATTTGGTCTTGTTTTGACTTTGGACCAGATGACCTCTGATCACAGAGGTTCTGTGATTCTATACAGCTGTTCTGAATGTGAAATGTGAAATGTGGTTACTGGAAACTTCGTTTACGTATGTTAATTTGTTTTGGTTTTTTTCACTTGCAGATTATAGTACAGTTGTAATCACATGTGCTGCATGTTTTTCACTGATTTTCGCTGCTGTCCTGAAGTGTACACATGCAGGAGGCTATATTCTTAAAAATAAATCACTTCCACATACTTTGGTATGTATTAATTCTCATATTTAACCTTCCTGGTTGGGAGGAGGAAGTTTTACCCTCTGAAATTTCTAATCCTGTGCATTAGGTGCAAGTTATGTAAGTACATACAGTGTTTTAATTTGCAGCTTACATGTGTCAAAGATAGAACAGACAAGATTCAGCAGCCCGTAGATTATGGAACAAATATTCAGGCTTTTCGAAACTATTTCTTGCTACTTCTGTGACAAGTTACTAACAGAGATAGAGATCATCCCACCCTACTCGGCATTTGTCAGGCTACACCTGAAGTATATCTGTTTCTGGTCACCACAGTGCAGGACAGAGGTGGACAGAAACCCGAGTCTGCTTTGTAACATCAAGAGTAGCTTCTCAGTCAAAGGAAAAATCCTACTAGAAAAATCTACTAAAATCAGATATACTTTGCAGGTCTCCAAACTTCCAATTTCACAGGTGTCTTGTACTGTAGATTGGGATGCAGTTATGTGCGGATATGTCCCTGCCGGAAAAGAATCCTAGTTGTTACTTCCAGAAGTGTTACTGGCAAGTTCAGGATCACTTCCCTGGTCACCTGTCTTCTTTCTCCCATCTCAGTTATGTTTTATTACTGTATTCTGATATACACAGGCGATAGTGAAAAGGATGACTAATAGCAGGATGCTTAGTAGGAAAAAGAAAGGACATTCATATGCAAGTTACCTCTGCTGATAACATAGCACCTTAGAAACTAACTCCTGGACCAGGCTGTTGGGACCTACCCAAATAGTGGAGTTGGATGAAAATAAAAAACAAAGGGAAAGAAGAGAAACGATGTAGCTCGGGAAGAAAACTTACTCAGGCTGGGGGTAGGGGAGAGGATGTGCATGTACACCAGGCAAACAGTAACAGCATCACCTTCCAAATGCTGAGGTATTCTCAGTAGTCACATGTAGTAAGTGGCTGGCAAAAACATCCCTGACTAAGGAAGAGTACTTAAGAATGAAAGAAAGGTAATATATCAGTCAAATTGTTCCACTTTTTTGCATAACCTTTCTTTAACTTTTTCTGTGATCAGGTATTATGTTTTAGTACCTGAGGAAGCCAGTCCTGAGTCAGCTATTTCTTGTTTTATTTTAATAGAAGAGACTGAACTTCCACTAAATTTCCCACAAAAATAACAAGATTCCTGGGACTTGTTTGCTTGTTTGTTTGGGGTTTTTTTGGGGTTTCTTTGTTTTTTGTTTGTTTGTTTTGGTTTGGTTTTGTTTGTTTGTTTTAAATAGTCTCTGGCTTCTTTTAATTCTATGCAGATTTTCAGCATAAATACTTTCTCTTTTTCTACAAACTTACCTGGAACAGATTGATATCAACTCCTTGTGTTTCTGTCCTTTGCTATGTCCTTACCTTCACATCCCTAAGATTGCTGAACATGACTTTGCCAACTAATGTCTAAGGTTAATGTCTTTTATTATTGTTGACATTTTCCCCCAGTGCTTTGAATATTCAGTGATCCTGGGAGGTGCAGAGTAAAGCTGAGCCCTGAAGTCTGCAGGAAATGCCAGAAATGTGGCACAGAAGGAATAATTTGTTTGACGACCTTGTGACTGGGGGTATTTTTTCATACTTTGCATGTGTGCTAATTTGGCTGATCTTTTATTATTTGCTTCGTTCTTTTAGGTATTCATGAGGAGGTTAGCCTATCCACCTTGGACATTTGAATCTGAAAAAATAGCCTCTGTAGAGATCATTTACAAAGAGGTTAAAAAAAAGGCAAATGAATCCAGTGGTGGTATCAGTGATGAAGATGAGAGTGATGACAGTGATGTCATAAGTAATCATGACTATACAAAGCGTGATATCTTAAATAGAGTACCTCATTCCTCTGATGTGCCAGATGTATCCATGCAGTACCCTACAAATAGCGTGTGTGATGACATCAGCAGCCAGGCAAGCGAAAATCCAGACACTGACCCAGAAGATGTTGAAGAGCAGGAGCTGGGCATTGAAGAAGAGAAAGTCACAAGTCATGAGTTACTTAATCCTTTCTCTGAGGCAAATTGTAACTATTCTTCAAGGCCAAGGGACGGTGCTTGCTTTACCATTAACTTAAAAACCGTGCTGTTGGGAGCCTCTGAAGAGAATGCGGATAGTTCTGCAGCTCTTCTTTCTTCCCAAGAAGATGCAGCTGATTGGCAATGTACTCATGCTGTTGAAGCAAAACTCCTGGATGACACAGAAAGTGTGCAGAAACCCCACTGTCATAATGACTCTCATGAGTGGGAAAACTCTTCTCCATCTTCTGATGAAAGTGACTTATCAGATTCAGATACGTACCAAAAAAATGAATACATAAGAAGATGAACAAGTAGGAACCACTATTGTTTTATGACATACAAATCAATGTTGCCCTACACCACTGATATATGGACTCAACATACAGATCTTTTTTTTTAACATTCTGTGAGTATATGCCTGAACCTTGAAAATACACAATGTTCATTTTTAACAGTAATTTTTCTGATCTCACCAGGTTGCTGCAGATATGGTTCAGGTTGGATGAGCCACAGAGAAACAAAAATGAGTGTTCAGATGCAGCAGAAAGAGTAGTTACTTTTTTTTGCAGTTTGATAATGAACTACACCTTTTAGCTATTCCAAAGCAAATATTTCCTGTAACTCAAGTGAGAAGTTAGTTTGTAGTACAGGGGTTGTGAATGGCTGGTCCCTCAACCAGACCACTTTTTCCACTTTCTGTTTTTCATTTGTTTGCTCTGCTGCTGGATTACTCTGGAACCTGCTTTGCTGGATGGATTGCTGTATTTGAGTCCGAGAACTGAGTTCTATATTTCTGCAGAGAAAACCGATCAAGTGAAATAATGGGGGCAGAGATAAGAATATTCAGTCTTACAAGAGAGTTCTCCTTACTGTGAATCAAGGCATTAAATAGACCTTTTTATAATTTTTTCATATAATTAAGTGCAATTATTGAATATTACCCTTCTAAAATATTTTTTATGGCATTTAAAAGTTAGTACAGTGTACAGTTTAACATTTGTGCTTCATAAAAAGAAAATTTTTCATATCCCTGTCTGAATTTTTACTGTGGCTCCTACATGCTACATGAGTTAGCCTGCTCAGAATTTACTCCTTATGCTTTTAGCTATCACATCGCTGAAAAAAAACCCACCAGCTTTTCTCACCTGGTGCTGATCTGTTTAGGTACTAATTTTCTTTCCACAGTTTACTAACCACAGACATCAGTCGTTCTGTTGGTCAGGGTTGCTGAGAGCAGTCTCAGAGGCGCTGGAATATATTCTGCTGCTTCACCTACTTCGTTCGGAACTAAGTAGGTGTAAGTACCTGGCACCTTGGATCTTGACTAGCTAATTATTTGCAGATTTACACATCTGTAGCATTAGTAGGTGAAACTTGCACTCACGCTCACGCTGCACCACTGCGTGCAGTTGGTGTGCATATCTCCGTGGTGATAGGTGCCAGGGGAATTGCTCACACGTAAGTGAAGGCTGTGGGACTGTGTGCAGCCCCATTTAATGACACGAGGTGACAGATGGGCTGGAAAAAAGTCTATTAACCCCTCACAAAGAACTGGCATTTTCAGTCGTGACAGTAATGACTTGAGAAACAACCTTTTTTACTCTGTGAGTAATAAAAATGCTCCCTCCTTCCCCCAAGTTTATGCTGATTTTGATCAGGGATGCTAAATGTTCTGGTAGAAGTACTAGTTTTTGGCATCTGATGCAGGCCAGATCCTGAAGTCAGAAGACAAGCCTTTCCTCAGGTAACATTTGTATTGCCTGCAGTGGGAATTTCACTCAAGATCGGGTTTGACGCTATGCATCGTCTGGCTTCTGTTTCTGTATTACTTATCTGTTTATCCACTTTGTGCCGAACTGCCACCTCCTGCCTTCCCAGCTGCCCTGGGATGCTCTTTAGCGATCTCAGGTATCCGCGCAGCCAGCATCGCTGAGATACCTTAAAGCAGAGCACCGATCAGCCCGCTGGGAAGGCTTCAGGTCCTGCGTGTGCTTCTGCTTGGAGAGGCTCCGGAGCCGCTGTGGTAACCCG